ATTGAATGCTCCAATGGAATTACCATAATTATGGTATCTATTATCTTAGTAGACCTTTTTAATGTAAAAATATTAAATCTTTGAAAGAAATTAGAGTTTTGAGTTTAACTTATTCGAGTTACCTATTAAGTCACGAAGAGTGTTTTAATGACTAAAGATTGAATCTTTGAATGAATATAACTCAATACAGGTACCTATTATGTGACTAGACCTTTTTAATTTATGAAGATTGAATCTTTGAAAGAAAATGAGAGTTTTGAGTTTAACTTTCGACAGTCACATTGACGTCCAGAAGAGTGTTTTAATGAGTAAAGATTGAATTGTTGAACGAAAATACCTCAATCAAGGTACCTATTATGACACTAGACCTTTTTATTGTAAAAAGATAGTTTTGAATTTAACTTATTCGAGTTACCTATGAAGTCGCGAAGAGTGTTTTAATAGCTAAAGATTGAATCTTTGAATGAAAATACCTCAATAAAGGTATATATTGTGTCACTAGACCATTTTAATGTACAAAGATTGAATCTTTGAAAGAAAATGAGAATTTTGAATTAAACATATTCGAGATCCATTTGACATCCCGAAGAGTGTTTTAATGACAAAAAATAGAATCTTTGAATGAAAATACCTCAATAAAGGTACCTATTATGTCACAAGACCTTTTTAATGTTTATAGATTGAATCTTTGAAAGAAAATGAGAGTTTTCAGTTTAACTTATTCGAGTTCCCTTTGACATCCTGAAGAGTGTTTTAATGAGTAAAGGTTGAATCTCTGAATGAAAATACTAAACTTATTCGAGATCTCATTGACATCAGGAAGAGTGTTTTAATGAGTTAAGATTGAATCTTTGAAAGAAAATTAAGATTTTGAGTTAAACTTATTTGAGTTCCCTTTGACGTTACGAAGAGTGTTTTAATGACTAAAGATTGAATCTTTGAATGAAATTGCCTCAATCAAGGTATCTATTATGTCACTAGACCTTTTTAATGTATATAGATTGAATCCTTGAAAGAAAATGAGGGTTTTCAGTTAAACTTATTCGAGTTCCCTTTGACGTTCCGAAGAGTGTTTTAATGAGTAAAGATTGAATCTTTGAATGAAAATATCTCAATCAAGATACCTATTATGTCGCTACACAATTTTATTGTATAAAAATTAAATCTTTGAAGGAAAAAGAGAGTTTTGAGTTATACTTATTCGAGATCCCTTTGATGTCATGAAGAGTGTTTTAATGATTGGAGATTGAATCTTTGAAAGAAAATGAGGGCTTTGAGTTAAACTTATTTAAGATTCATTCGACAACACAAAGAGTGTTTTTATGAGTACAGATTGAATCTTTGAATGAAATTACCTCAATCTAGGTACCTATTATGTCACTAGACAATTTTAATGTAAAAAGATTGAATCTTTGAAAGAAAAAAAGAGTGTTGAGTAAAACTTATTCGAGATCCCTTTGACGTCATAAAGAGTGTTTTAATGAGTGAAAATTGAATCTTTGAATGAAATTATCATAATCAAGGTATCTATTATGTCAGTAGACCTTTTTAATGTAAAAAAGATTGATTCTTTGAAAAAAATTGAGAGTTTTGAGTTTCACTTATTCGAGTTACCTATGAAGTCACGATGAGTGTTTTAATGACTAGAAAGTGAATCTTTGAATAAAAATAGCTGAATAAAGGTATTTATAATGTCACTAGACATTTTTAGTGCATAAAGATTGAATCTTTGAAAGTAACTGAGAGTTTTGAGTTAAACTTATTCGAGTTCCCTTTGATGTCTCGACGAGTGTTTTAATGAGTAAAGATTGAATCTTTGAATGAAAATACCTCAATCAAGGTACCTATTATGTTACTAGACCATTTTAATGTATACAGATTAAATCTTTGAAGGAAAATGTGAGTTCTGTATTAAACTTATTCGAGATCCCTTTGACATCACGAAGAATGTTTTAACCAGTAAATATTGAATCTTTAAATGAAATTACCTCAATCAAGGTACCTATTATGGCACTTGACCTTTTTACTGTAAAAAGATTGAATCTTGGAAAGAAAATGAGAGTTTTGAGTTTAAGTTATTCGAGATCCCTTTGACGTCACGTAGAATGTTTTAATGACAAAAGAGTGACTCTTTGAATGAAATTACCTCAATCAAGGTACCCATTATGTCAATAGACCTTTCCAAACTAAACAGACTAAATCTTTGAAAGAAAAAGAGAGTTTTGAGTTTAACTTATTTGAGTTGCGTATGAAGTCGCGAAGAGTTTTTTAGTAACTAAAGATTAAATCTTTGAGTGAAAATACTTCAGTTAAGGTACCTATTTTGTCACTCTACCATTTTACTGTGTAAAAAGATCAAATATTTGAAAGAAAATGAAAGTTTTGAGTTAAACTTATTCGATATCCCATTGACGTCACGAAGAGTGTTTTAATGTGCTAAGAATGAATCTTTGCGTGAAATTAGCTCAATCAAGGTACCTATTATGTCGCTAGACCATTTTAATGCAAAAAGATTGAATGTTAGAAAGAAAATCAGATTTTTGAGTTAAACTTATTCGAGATCCCTTTGACGTCACAAAAAGTGTTTTAATGAGTAAAGATTGAATCTTTGAATAAAATTACCTCAATCAAGTTACCTATTATGTCACTAGACCTTTTTAACGTAAAAGGAATAAATCTTGGAAAGAAAATGAGAGTTTAAGTTTAACTTATTTGAGTTACCTATGAAATCGCGAAGAGTGTTTTAATGACTTAAGATTAAATCTTTGATTAAAAATACCGCAATAAAGGTACATATTATGTCACTAGACATTATTATTGTATAAAGATTCAATCTTTGAAAGAAAATGAGTGTATTGAGTTAAACATATTCAAGTTCCCTTTGACTTCCCGAAGAGTGTTTGAATGAGTAGAGATTCAATCTTCGAATCAAAATACCTTAATAAAGGTACCTATTATGTCACTAGACCTTCTGAATGTAAACAGATTGAATCTATGATAAAAAAAAAATGAAAGTTTTGAGTTTAACTTATTTAGGTTACCTATGAAGTCGCGAAGAGTGTTTTATTGACAAAAGATTGAATCCTTGAAAGAAAATGAGAGTTTTGAGTTAAACTTATTCGAGTTCCCTTTGCCGTCCTGAAGAATATTTTAATGAGTGAAGATTGAATCTTTGAATGAAAATGTTTCAATCAAGGTACCAATTATGTCACTAGACCATTTTAATATATAAAGATTAAATCTTTGAAAGAAAATGGGAGTTTTTATTTAAACTTATTCGAAATCCCTATGACGTCACGAAGAGTGTTTTAATGTGTAAAGATTGAATATTTGAAAGAAATTACCTCAATTAAGGTGCCTATTATTTTATTAGATCTTTTTAACGTCAAAAGATAGAATCTTTGAAAAAAATGAGAGTTTTGGGTTAAACTTATTCGAGATCTCTTTGACATCTCGAAAAGTGTTTTAATGAGTAAAGATTGAATCTTTAAATGAAATTTCTTTGAATGAAATTACCTATGAAGTTGCGAAGAGTGTTTTAATGACTAAAGATTGAATCTTTTAATGAAAATTCCTAAGTAAAGGTACGTATGATGTCAGTAGACCTTTCTAATGTATACAGATTGAATCTTTGAAAAAAAAATGAGACTTTTGAGTTAAACTTATTGAGTTCCTTTTGACGTCCCGAAGAATTTTTTCAATAGTAAAGTATGAATCTTTGAATGAAAATATCTCAATCAAGGTACCTGTTATGTCAGTAGACTATTTTAATGTATAAAGATTAAATCTTTAAAAGAAAATGAGAGTTTTGAGTTATACTTCTTTGAGATCCCTTTGACGTCATGAAGAATGTTTTAATGAGTAAAGATTAAATCTTTGAATGAAATTACCACATTCAAAGTACCTATTATGTCACTAGACCTTTTAAATGTAAAAAGATTAAATCTTTGAAAGAAAATTAGAACTTTGAGTTAAACTTGTTCGAAATCCCTTTGACATCACGAAGAGTGTTTTAATGAGTAAAGATTGAATTTTTTATTGAAATTACCTCAGTCAAGATACCTATTACGTCAGTAAACCATTTTAATGCATAAAGATTAAATTTTTGAAAGAAAATGAGAGTTTTGAATTTAACTTATTCGAGTTACCTATAGAGTCACGAAGAGTATTTTAATGACCAAAGATTCAATATTTGAAAGAAAATGAGAGTTTTGAGTTTAACGTATTCGAGTTACCTATTAAGTCATGAAGAGTGTTTTAACGACTAAAGATTGAATCTTTGATTGAAAATATCTGAATAAAGGTACCTATTATGTCACTAGACTTTTTTAATGTATAAAGATTGAATCTTTAAAAGAAAATGAGAGTTTTGAGTTAAACTTATTCAAAGTTTCCATTGACGTCCCAAAGAACGTTTTCATGAGTAAAGTTTGAATCTTTGAATGAAAAGAACTCAACCAAGGTACCTATTTTGTCACTAGACAATTTTAATATATAAAGATTAAATCATTGAAAGAAAATGAGAGTTTTGAGTTAAACTTATTCGAGATCCCTTTGACGTCTTGAAGAGTGTTTTAATGAGTAAAGATTGAATCTTTAAATGAAATTATCTCAATCAAGGTACCTATTATGTCACTAGACCTTTTTAATGTAAAAAAATTGAATCTTTGAAAGAAAATTAGAGTTTTGAGTTAAACTTATTTGAGATCCTTTTCATGTCATAAAGAGTGTTTTAATGAGTAAAGATTGAATTTTTGAATGAAATTACCACAACTATAATAGCTATTATGTCAGCAAACCTTTTTAATATAAAAAGATTGAATTTTTGAAACATAATTAGAGTTTTGAGTTTAACTTAATCGAGTTACCTATGAAGTCGCGAAGAGTGTTTTAATGACTAAAGATTTAATCTTTGAATGAAAGTGCCTCAAGTAAGGAACCTATCATGTAACGCCCCGAATTTTTTTCTAAATAAAATCCTCAATTTTATTAAATCAAAATACTTCAATATTACTCCCAGTTTTATTAAATCAAAATACTTCAATATTACTCCCAGGGTCTCAAAAAAGATATAAAATACCCTTTATTGATACAACAATCAATTTCCTCAATAAAATATACAAAAATCTCTAAATAATTAAATAAAAATCCTCAATACCAACTCTTCCACCTAAGCCCGCCACTACCAATCCAAGTTCATCCTCGGTACCTGAAACTGTAGGGGGGTGAGACAGTAGGAAAAACCATAACAAGGATTTCAAAGAGTTTCATGATAAATTTGCTTCACAAAAATATATATATGCTTTTAAACAAAATACATATATGCAATTTTAGCAAAATAATAATCAACAAAATATTTGAAATAAAATCATCTAAGCCATTCAAGGTATGATGATCCCTACACCGAAAAAATAAACATCATCGCTGGATCAGAAACATCACCAAACTCTCGGCCCTCACTATGTGCACCTCGGCACTGTATGTGTGCACTTCAAAACTCTTTGTTTTTCCTCTCTGTGTGTGCTCCTCTATTTTTCTCTTCTGTTTTTGTACGCTCTCTTAGCACACAAGACACTCAATATATAGGCATTACACCGACACAGCAAACAATTCACCAAATATCCCAACTCAAAAATTAATACAATGATCAAAATTTCTAGTGGACCCGCCACCACCTTATCTTCCTTTTCTCGGCTGCCACACCATGCTGCCTCCTTATCTTCATTCTTCATTTTTCCACATACAAATAACGTATTATCACCAAACATAAATCAGACAAAGCCACGTGAAGGACACAAAGCAAAGAACCAATTTGCTAAGAAAATAATTTGTGGGTCCCACCATCAAAATCACATTCCCAATTTTCTTTCTTTGATTTCCATATCTCTATTCTCTCAAGTGTGTCGGCTGGCAGTACCCATTTCATCAGATAAGAAACATAAATATATATACATGTACAATGTATAGAAAACCAAATTTCATTCTCTCTTTAAATATAAATCATGTGGGTCCCACGAAAATATCATTACATTACTTTTTTTTCCATTTTTTTCCTCCATTTCGGCTGACATATTCAGCCCACCTGCCTTCTATCTTCTAATTCAGACAATTTATATATATATATATATATATATATATATATATATATCTCAAGGAAAAAAAATAACAAATCAAGCTTCTTAAAAATCAACCAAGAGGGACCCGCGGAAACCCATTTTTCCTTCTCTTTTCGCTGCTGCTCACTTCCTCCCAATACCCACCATCAGATTACATATATATAATATGTAACAATGAAAACTAAATCAAAGACCCAAGACTAAATCATTAACATCATTAAGTGGGCCCCTTGAAATTGCAATTTTCATCTCACTTCCTTTCCTTCCTCCCATACTCAGTTGATCCCTTTTGCTTCCTATATCTTCAAATGCAATTTATTTATATATCATACATGTACATAATTGCAATAAAAATCAAAATCCAATCAACCCACTTAAATAATTTAAATGGACAAATCTCCAATGAAAATTTTAATAATCAACTATGACAATTAAAAATCATGAAATAAAAATAATTTCAACTCTTAAAAATCCAGGTTGTTATATATCATGTCACTTGGCCTTTTTAATGCACAAATATTGAATCTTTGAAAGAAAATGAGAGTTTTGGATTAAAATTATTTAAGTTCCCTTTGACGTTCCGAAGAGTATTTTAATGAGTAAAGATTGAATCTTTGAATGAAAATACCTCAATCAAGGTACCTATTATGTCACTAGACCATTTTAATGTATAAAGATTAAATCTTTTAAGGAAATGAAAGTTTTGAGTTAAATTTATTCGAGATCCCTTTGGCGTCACGAAGAGCGTTTTAATGAGCAAAGATTGAATCTTTGAATGAAATTACCTCAATCAACGTGCCTGTCATGTCACTAGAACTTTTTAATGTAAAAAGATTGAATCTTTGAAGGAAATGTGAGTTTTGAGTTTAACTTTTTTGAGTTACTTATGAAGTCGCAAAAAGTGTTTTAATGACAAAAGATTGAATCTTTTAATCAAGGTACCTATTATGTAACTAAACCTTTTTAATGTATAAAGATTGAATCTTTGAATGAAAATAACTCAATCAAGGTGCTTCTTATGTCACTAGACCATTTTAATGAATAAAAATTAAATCTTTGTAAAAAAATAAGAGTTTTGAGTTAAACATATCTGAGAAACCTTTGACGTCCTGAAGAGTATTTTCATATGTAAAGATGGAATCTTTGAATGAAATTACCCCAATCAGGGTACCTAATATGTCATAGACCATTTTAATGTAAAAAGTTTGAATCTTTGAAAGAAAATGAGAGTTTTTAATTAAAGTTATTCGGAATCCCTTTGATGTCCAGAAGAGTGTTTTAATGAGTAAATGTTGAATCTTTGAATAAAAATACCTCAATAAAGGTACCTATTTTGTCACTAGACCTTTTTAATGTAAAAAGATTGAATATTTGAAAGAAAATAAAAGTTTTGACCTTTTTAACTAAAGGTTGAATCTTTGAATAAAAATACCTCAATAAAGGTACTTATTTTGTCACTAGACCTTTTTAATGTACAAAGATTGAATCTTTGAAAGAAAATGAAAGTTTTAAGTTAAACTTATTCGAATTTCATTTGATGTCACGAAGAGTGTTTTAATGAATAAAGATTGAATCTTTGAATAAAAATACCTCAATCAAGGTACCTATTATGTCACGAGACCATTTTAATGAATAAATATTTAATCTTTCAAAGAAAATGAGAGTTTTAAATTAAACGTATTCGAAAAACTTTTGACGTTCCGTAGAGTGTTTTAATGAGTAAAGATGCAATCTTTGAACGAATTTACCTCAATCAGGATATCTATTATATCATAGACCTTTTTAATGTAAAAAGATTGAATCTTTGAAAGAAAATGAGAGTTTTGAGTTAAACTTATTCGAGATCCCTTTGACATCACGATGAGTGTTTTATTGAGTAAAGATTGAATCTTTGAATGAAATTACCTGAATCAAGGTACCTAATATGTCACTAGACCTTTTTAATGTAAAAAAATTGAATCTTTGAAAGAAAATGAGAGTTTTGAGTTTAATTTATTCGAGTTACCTACGAAGTCGCGTAGAGTGTTTTAATGACTAAAGATTGAATCTTTGAATGAAAATACATCAATAAAGGTAACTTAGAAAGATTGACCTTTTTAATATATAAAGATTGAATCTTAGAAAGAAAATGAGAGTTTTGAGTTTAATTTATTCGGGTTTTCTTTGACGTCCCGAAGAGTGTTTTAATGAGTAGACATTGAATCTTTGAATGAAAATACCTCAATCACGGTACCTATTATGTCACTAGACCATTTTAATGTATGAAGACTAAATCTTTGAAAGAAAATGAGAGTTTTGAATTAAACTTATTTGAGATCCCTTCGACGTCACGAAAAGTATTTTAGTGAGTGAAGATTAAATCTTTGAATGAAATTACCTCAATAAAGGTACCTATTATGTCACTAGATCTTTTTAATATAAAAAGATTGAACCTTTGAAAGAATAAGAGAGTTTTAAATTAAACTTATTTGCGATCCCTTTCACGTCACAAAGAGTGTTTTAATGAGTTAAGATTGAATCTTTGAATGAAATTACCTCAAGCAAGGTACCTATTATGTCACTAAAATTTTTTAATGTAAAATGATTGAATCTTTGAAAGAAAATGAGAGTTTTGAGTTAAACTTGTTCGAATTCCCTTTTACGTCCCGAAAAGTGTTTTAATGAGTAAAGATTTAATCCTTGAATGAAAATACCTCGATCACAGCACCTTTTATGTCACTAGACGATTTTAATGTATAAAGATTAAATCTTGAAAGAAAATGAGAGTTTTTAGTTAAACTTAATCAAGATCCCTTTGATGTTATGAAGAGTGTTTTAATGAGTAAGATTGGAATGTTTGAATGGAATTACCTCAAGCAGGGTACCAGTTATGTCACAAGACAATTTTAATGTAAAAAGATTGAATCTTTGAAACATAATGAGAGTTTTGAGTTGAACTTGTTCGAGATCCCTTCGGCGTCACGAAGAGTGTTTTAACGAGTAAAGGATGAATCTTTAAATGAAATTTCCTAATCAAGGTACCTATTATGTCACTAGACCATTTTAATGTAAAAAGAATGAATCTCTAAAAGAAAATGTGTGTTTTGAGTTTAACTTATTCGAGTTACCAATGAAGTCGCAAAGAGTATTTTAACGACTAAAGATTGAATCTTTGAATAAAAATAATTCAATCAAGGTACCTATTATGTCACTAGACCATTTTAATGTATAAAGATTAAATATTTAAAAAAAAAATTAAAGTTTTGACTTAAACTTATTCGAGATCTCTTTGATGTCACGAAGAGTGTTTTAATAAGTAAAGATTAAATCTTCGAATGAAATTACGTCAATCAAGTTACCAATTTCATCACTAGACCTTTTTAATGTGAAAAGATTAAATCTTTGAAAGAAAATGAGAGTTTCAAGATACACTTATTTGAGATTCCTTTGACGCCATGAAGAGTGTTTTAATGAGTAAATATTCAATCTTTGAATGAAAATATCTCAGTCAAGGTACCTATTATGTCACTAGGCATTTTTAATGTAAAAAGATTGAATCTATGAAAGAAAATAAGAGTTTTGAGTTAAACTTATTCGAGATTCCTTTGACGTCACGAAGAGTGTTTGATGAGTAAAGATTGAAACTTTGAATGAAACTAAGTTAATCAAGGTACCTATTATGTCAGTAGACCATTTTAATGTAAAAAGATTGAACTTTTAAACTTATGCGAGATACATTTGATGTCACGAAGAGTGTTTCAATGAGTAAAGATTGAATCTTTGATTGAAATTTCCTCAATCAAGGTAGCTATTTCATTACTAGACCTTTTGAATGTAAAAAGATTGAATCTTTGAAAGAAAACGAGCATTTTGAGTTTAACTTATTCGAGTTACCTATGAAGCCGCGACGAGTGTTTTAATTTCTAAAGATTGAATCTTTAAATGAAAATATCTAAATAAAGATACCTTTTATGTCACTAGAATTTTTTAACATAAAAATATTGAATCTGTGAAAGAAAATGATAGTTTTGACTTTAACTTGTTCGAGTTACCTAGGAAGTCGCGAAGAGTATTTTAATTTCTAAAGATTGAATCTTTGAATGAAAATACTTCAATAAAGGTACCTTTTATGTCACTAGACATTTTTAATGTGTAAAGATTGAATCTTTGAAAGAAAATGAGAGTTTTGAGTTAAACTTATTTGAGTTCCCTTTAACGTCCCGAAGAGTGTTTTAATGAGTAAAGATTAAATCTTTGAATGAAAATACCTCAATCGAGGTATTTATTATGTCACTACACCATTTTAGTGTATGAAGATTAAATCTTTAAATGAAAATAAGAGTTTTGAGTTAAACTTATTCGAGATTCCTTTGACGTCACGAAGAGTGTTTTTACCAGTAAAGATTGAATCTTTGAATGAAATTACCTCAATCATGGTACCTACTATTTCACTAGACCTTTTTAATGGAAAATGATTGAATCTTTGAAAGAAAATGAGAGTTTTGAGTTTAACTTATTTGAGTTACCTACGAAGTCGCGAAGAGTGTTTTAGTGACTAAAGATTGAATCTTTGAATGAAAATACCTCAATAAAGGAACCTAATATGTCACTAGACCTTTTTAATGTAAAAAAGTTGAATCTTTGAAAGAAAATGAGTGT